CTTTAAATAATTGTCTCTCCAATTCCACACAGTCTGGCTCAATTACTTTAGAACACAATTTAACAAGACGAATTATTCCTCCTGCTCTGTTATTACAATACAGTCTGTGATAATTTCATGTTAAAACCACCACTATAACTCTTGGCTACCACAGTTGTATCACGCTGTCTAGATTTGTCTATCTATCTAACTAACTCTTTAACTTAACATGAACTACATTTTGTACGCGTATTTATAGCTTGACCGAGGCCTAGAATTTCCACACTCTACGAGATATTATAATGCAATAATACTCAATTAATAGAACGAGAAAGCTTAAGGTTCAAGTAAAACAACTCAATAATACAACAGTTGCCAATTTACAACAATTGAAGTAAACGTATAATTCGTACACAGTTACGTAAATAAATCTGCGATAAACTATCTCTTCTGAAAATATGTAAATTTAACACTCGCGCTATACTTAACAATCTAAACCATAACACTCGCATTAAAAAGTCGTGTACACCTAACAACAACAAAAAAAAAAACAAAAAAAAACTGCATATATTTGGTGCTTTTGATATTGTCGGACGTTTCGATATTGTCCAACAAAGAGCATACAACGTAAACTATGGTTGTCGTTATGTTTGGGATTTTAGATATATAATTTTGATATGACACAGACTTCAGAAAAGGTTGAACCGTAATCCATACCCAAATTTCTGTTATCTAGAACAAAATAACTTTTCCGACAAATCACTTAGGCGGCATAAGCAAGTCGAATATGACAAGATTTTCCGTTTTTCTGTTATGTTTTACAGCACTTTCTCACACTTCTTGTCACGACAACAAATTTTATCCACAAAGGATTTGATAGATAATCTCTGAACAAAATGTAATATGTTGGCAAAACGTATCGAATCATTATAACCCTAACAATTACTAAAACTGCTAGTTCACCAGTTCTTCGGAACGATAGTTAAAGTTCATTAAAATAAGTTAAATAATCGGTGTTAAAAAATAAATAATACGTAATAATAATTAAAACTTACACAGAAAATCTGATTTGTAAATAACTTAAGTAAAACTGTTAATAATCACAGTTCACTTTATTTAGTTCACACCATAACAGTCGCTGTTAATCAAAAGTGATGATGTATCTATATATAAGCTTTAGTCTGTGTTATTCAATTTGTATAATAGTTTTGTTAAAAAAATACGTGCATCCGTGTTTAGGTGTGACATTAAATTATCGATCATTTAGTAATGATGTCGTAATATTTGCAGATTATTATTTTATTACTTTAGTGAGTAGTCCTTATACTTGTTTCACACATTTTTCGCGCGCAAAACTACAGAAGGGTTATTGCACTAGACGTCCATAATTTTAAATGGAAAGACTAGAGGAAGGACGGCTAGTTAACAGCATGCAGGACTCCGAAGTGTTAGCGTGTTTTGTGGCAACGGGACTCAAACCACTATTTCTCGAATTCAAAGTCCAGCCGCTCTAATTCTGAGTCATACCTGGACCAGTCCTTATACATCACGAACAAACAATATTGAACATTCATGGAAAGAGGGGCGGGGCAGATAAAGCTGGTGTTCGTAAGAATTGAAATAAGGTCGACATAGTGTGGATATACTACCAGCATAACTTACATGTACAGCTGTTTATTTGTATATCTCTAAGAGCAGTTACCGAGCCCTGATTCCGGTGGTTGGTTATGGAGGTATTTGTTCCATTTTCAGATGGTTGCAAAGATGTAGGACTATAGGTTATACGACTTAAAGATCTCATGTTAGCTTATCGTTCCGATTCTATCACGCTAAGTAAATCAACCCCGAAAAGTTCCTAGACCGTCACGCAATGTTGTACGAGAATCGTTTCATAATTAGGTAGAGGAACGTCAAACAACAGTATTGGTCATCTGTAATGACAATGCTTGGTTTCTCGCATGGTAGATAACGTTAAAAGAAATATATGTATATATATATTTATTTTTTTTTACCTACACACCTACAATATCACAATTGTCACAATGTTTATCTATATAAAAATAATAAGGCCCGGCATGGCCAGGTGGTTAGGGCGCTCGACTCGCAATCTGTGGGTCGCGGGTTCGAATCCCCGTCACACCAAACATGTTCGCCTT